TTTACCTACTTCTACAGTGGGTTCATACAGAAACACTTTAGATTCTTGAAAAGCAATGTTGGAAATAATATCACTTTTACTTCTACAACCAGTTTTGAAGAACATAGTTGTGTTTCTTAAGTATTGCTAATAAGTTTTTCAGCAAGAGTTATACACTTGTTGAAAAATCTCACAAAAACATAAAATTAATTAACTGAATTTCTTTATGTAGGAAAGGATTTCACATGAAAAATATTTATAATATTAAAAAAATAATTAAAACATTTGTTTTATTAATTATTAATTTAGTTAGAATTGAACTCAAAGAAGTGGAAAATTATAATTTAGTTTGTTATAAGAAGAAAAATATTGTAAAAAAGCAATACAATTAATAAAAAGCATCCCTTTATTCGATTAACCGAACAATTTTGAATTATCCGATTACTAACCGGCTAAAATTAAACCTCAAATAATTATTTGTCGAGTAAACGAATAAGATTAAAACCCGAATAATTGAATACTCTAGCGGTGAATGTAAATGAGTCTGAAGAAATGTTCCATTTGATTCCAAGAGTCTTAGTCCCGGTGTTTTCGGACAAATTTAACCAATCGAGAGGTAGTAGGGTCTCATTTGGTAGGTCTTGTATAACTCGTGGGTCATTTGAGGTCCATTTCATCAGGTCAAATCTAGCGGATTTTAAAACTGTTGTAAGTTCCTTTCTTGATTTGATGGCGTCGATTAATGTATGTCCACCTGCTAAAACATCATCCACGTACATGTTTTGTTACAGAGTTTTTGACGCGAGTGGGTGAGTTGATTTTACATCTTCAGCTAGTTGAAGTAGAGTTATAATGGCCAGAAACGGGGTGCAGTTGACTCCAAATGTCACTGTCAGGAGTTCGTAATCCTCAATAGGATCGCTTGCTGTTTGACGAAATAATATCCATTGATATTTGGTTTGAGTCGGGTCAATGAGTATCTATCGATACATTTTTGTGATGTCTGCGTTGTACACAAAACTGAAGAATCTCCACTTCAGTATCAGAAGCACTATGTCCTGTTGTAGTATGGGTCCTGGATGCAAAATGTCGTTCAAACTCTTGTTTGAAGACGGACTCGAGGCGTTGAAAACTACTCTAAGTTTCGTTGTCAGCCTTTCAGGTTTTATTACTGCATGATGCGACAGGTAATAATTAGGGTTCGAGTTGATTGCCAGGGGAGAAACTTTCCTCATATGTCCTAACTCGAGGTACTCAATAATTACTTGGTCGTATTGTTTTTTGAGTTCGGGTTTCTGGCTAAGCATGTGCTCCATTCTCAAGAACTTGGCCATCGCTATGTTTCTCGAAGTTCCAATTTCTTCGCTATTTTTAAACTGTAGGGTAACTATATACCTTCCTGAGTCGTTTCTACGTCTCGTCGACTTGAAATTGTTTTCGCAAAATGTGTCCTCATCTAACCTCAAAATCTGTTTTGGGGTCTCCTCCACCTCCCAAAAGCGTGTGAGGATTCGGTCAAGGGACGAAGTGTTAAAAAGTGACACTGTTGTTCTAGGTTGTGTCGTTGTTGATATTGATCCCCCCATAATCCAGCCAAATACTGTTTTTTGTGCCAAAAGGGATCCAATAGACCGCATCGGAGTGTCCATACAATATATTGAGGGGCCCAGGTCGAGTCCTATAAGCAAGTCGATGGATCTGCTTTGATTGAATTGAGGATCTGCAAGTTCTAATTTAGTAGTCTCATTGAAATGTCTGAGGTGGTAAATTAGATGGAAGTGTCTTCAAGACTGGTGCCCAGACTTCTAATTTAAACTCTGAGTCCACCTTAGAACAAAGATTGAATAAACAAGCTTTGGTTGGGGTCTCCGAAACTGTTTGATTTAAGCCTGAACTAAATTTCGCTTGGTGGGTAAATTTAGACTATTTTTCAACTTTTCTGACATAAAGGTTGATTGTGAACCAGGATCAATGACTGCTCTAGCCTGATATCTTTCGCCTCTAGTTTCGACCTGTACAATAACAAGGTCTCTCTCTCGTTGGGAGATTGATTAAAATTGTTGTTTTCTTGTAGGGTCAAGGAAGTGATATTTGGGATTGAAACGTTTGATACTGATGTGGACTGTATGTGATGCTCGTGCTTGGATGGGTCGCGTCTGATCCCTTATGTAACAAAGTGTTATGTCTTTGCTTACATAATCTGCAACTGAATTTACTTTTACAGTCCTTGACACTGATCAATAGAAAAGCAGTTGTAGCATGAATTTGTGACTCTTACAATGTGAATTCTGCCATTAACATTTTTTTCTAAGAACTTGGGACAAGACCAAAAATGGGGTCAAAAAAGTCCCTGCTAGCGATTTTACAACAAGAGTAATCAAAAATAATAATTAATTTCAATATTAATTACTAATTGTAGGGTATTTTGATTCCCCAGTAATTTATTAAAAGAAGTACGGGTGGTAACCCACACACTAAAGGGTTTGTGTTTCTCTTTATTGTATTTGATTTTTTGTACTTACTCGTTGTTGTTGGGTCTTCTTTATTTGAGTCGCTGTTTTCAAATTTGGATCTCTTGTTGTTTTCTTGTTGATTGGGTCTCTCTTGTTCTTTGGATCTCTTTTTGTCAGCCACTGCACTTTTGTTGTAGACAAAACCAGTTTATGCCGTTAGGAATTTTTGGCTATTTTTGAATTTTTGTAAATTTTAATAATTTTTTGTTGTTGTAAAAAACACTGCACTTTACTACACTACACGACACTTTATTCGGTTCGAAGTGGCCAAATGTTTGATGATGTTTATATTTGTTTTAAATAAAACACATTTTAATTTTTTTTATTTTATAATTTCAATTTATTTTATTTGTTAAATTTGATGTTTGTTTTTATGTTTGTTTTGTTTATAAAATTGTTTTGATTTTTGTTATAATTCTTTTTTTTTTTTGTCTTTCAATTTATGTTTTTATTAAATTCAATTTATTTTTATTAGCTTTTAGGTCACAGTTTTATTTAAGTTACAATTATTTTTATTTGAGTTCACAAATTTTATTTTAAAAAAAGGGTCACACTTGTTTGGCTATCAAAACTAGAGTGATCTTTAACAAATTATTTTAATGCTTGTTAGCAAATTTATAAAAATGAAGTAAGGAAAAGAGAATAAAAAAAGGACCGTTAGTATGGTAAATGGTGTTTCAAAAAAAGTGTTAACGTTGAACAATATATTGATTGAGATATACATACATATATATTGAGATAGCCGAAATTTGAGCTCGATTAATAAACGTTAACACGTGCCGCTCGTCGCTCAATGTTTGAAAGTATCCAAATTTTTGCCCAAAAAGCTAACTACTAAGCGTGTTTCTACTATTTACAGTTCTGGAGTTATAGCTTCATATGTTAGCTTTTTGGCCAAAAATTTGAATTTTTTTAAACTTTGAGTGACGAGCGACACGTGTTAACGTTTTTTAATCGACCTCAAATTTCGGCTATCTCATTATCTGGTAAGGGGAAAAATGATTCCCCTTTCCAGATATTGAGATAGCCATGGGGTTAAGATGAAGAACAAGATTAATATATATACAGTGCCGGCAAAAAAAAAATAGAAACAAGAAAATTTTCCAGTGGAAAACCTATTTTCTGCCAAACTATATGGTAGATATAGAAACAATTTTTTATATGGTATAAAATCCTACAAACAAAATTTTTTCATTCTTTTTTTGATAATAAAGGCTTTGATAATAAAGGCTTCTAAAAAATATAATCAAACGAAAACTATTTCAAATGTTTCGGTTTTTATATTTATTTTTAATTTGTATATAATAGAATATATAATATAATATATATAATGGTATTAATCCCAAATTCTAAACCCTATTGCATTATGATTTGTCATGAGTTTTCGATGCTAATTGGACTTTTTTTAGCATTATTTTAGCATATTTAATACCTTGATTTTTACCCATTCTAAAGTGTTCGAATTTTAAAGTAGTGCTAAATTGGCCTAAAATTGCCCTGAAAATCGGTAAGTTTTCGATACCTATTAATGGTCCCAAAACTTTTTCGACTCTTAAATAATTTAAAAAAACAGTTTTATAGGCGATTTTAGTACTTTTACGAATTAATTTTATTTTATATTCATGTTTTATAAGATATTTTGAAATTGAGACCCTCGATTCAACAGTCAGGTTCCATATCTATATATAAATTCTAACGTTACTGACTGACTGATTCATCATCGCACAGCCTAAACGGTTGAAGCAAAAGAGCTGAAATTTGGACAGGAGGTTGGTCTCCCACAAAATAGATCCACTAAGACGGGATTTTTGGAAATTCGAATGTTTAGGGGATAAAAAAGGGTAAATTCGGTAACCTCATATCTCCTAAACTATAAAAGATACAACAAGTTAGAGTGCTATATTCGGCTGAGCCGAATCTTAAATACCCTCCACCAGATATCAATAGTTTTTTAAATGATTAAATATTTGTAGAAATAAGTTTTCTCATGTCTGAAATAGAAAAATCCCAAGAATCATTACAATTCCAAGATTTATTGAACATTACAAACGCCGTTTTCTTTTATATTTTTATAGCGCCCTAAGATATGCTTTAGCGATATTTAGTAATTTGCATGTATGCATGTGTGTGAAAGATTTAAGGATTTTCAAAATACATATATATATAATTTTGTTCTACACAAATTGATAATGCAACTAGTTAAAGACGGTTAAATTGCTTTTAGTGGCAGGCCCTAGTATGGGAGATATGACCAATTCTAGACCGATCGTAAAAAATTCTTTAAGCAAAATTTCTGTACATAAAAGCTATATTTCAGTCAAATTTTGTATATATATCGTAATTTAGTAATAAGTAATGTGTGTTCAAGTGATTTTCTGAAAGGACACTTGCATGGGACCGACCGTACCCATGTTATGAACCGATCGTTAAAAAATCTGGAAATAGAATTTTTGTATACAGTGCACTCGCGGTAACGTGAACTAATTAAAACCAAGGGAGTTCATGTTAGCGAAATTGTTCACGTTAGCGATTGTCAAATTTCATGAAAAAATATCAAATTTTAATTTATAAATCTGTATTTTACACGCTTGAGCGTGATATTCTTTTATTATTATTTATATTATTACAATATAAAACTAAAATTTTATTAAAATCCATTACAAAACAAAACGAGATAACGAGAAAATATCAATTGAAATAAAATTACATAGTAATAAAATTACTCATTACATTTATGCATTAAAGAAATCCGTTATCTTTTTCTGCTGCTTTTTCTTCTCTAATAGCTGAAATATTGCTTTCTCCCTTAAGCGTCTAAGTACACTCATGTCACTTTGATCCACCGTTGCATCTCCTGCCCATTGTAATGCCTTGTTAAAGATTTCAATTGCCTCACTTGCGGCAACTTTTTTAACAGGATCAGTGCAATCATCGTCATCACTTTCTTCGTTTTGCACAATTTCATGGATTTCAGTGGTATCATTAACACAGGTATCATTATTCCACTCCTGAACCATTGGCAGGGTAAACTCAACCTAAAAGTTAGTAAAACAATGCCTTAATTGTGATTTAAAAGTTTATCGCAAAATTCTTACCTGAGGACTTAAGTCCTGAAGGAGATCGGCTGACATTTGCATTAAAGAATTAATTTCTGCATCCCATTTCTCTTTTAGAATACTTAGTGGAATGTTATCTTCAGGGTCCTCCTCGTTTCCAACCAAACTTAAAATATTTTTCCAGCATTTGGCAAGAGTTTCTGTGCTGACCCGATCCCATGCGACAGATAAAAGAGTGACAGCATCTTTCAAAGTTACATTTCTCATTGATTGAAGCAAATCAGAGTTTTTAGCTGCTATCGAAGCTAACAAGCTGTTTCTGTAGTATAATTTTGTTATTTTAATAGCATTTTGATCCATTGGTTGGATTATGGGGGTGACATTTGGTGGCATAAACATGGCAATTATGTTTCCATCTTCAGTTTTTAATTCTGCTTCGCTTGGATGAGAGGGAGCATTATCGATAAGTAATAGTGCCTTCATTGGCAAGTTCTTCTTCTTTAGAAACAATTTCACCTAGTTAAAAACAAGAACTTTTAGTGATACGTACATACATTTACATAAGTCAACGATGAATTTTCTTACCTGTGGTACAAAGGATTGATGGAACCAATGCTTAAAAATGGCTGACGTCATCCAGGCCGATTTCGAATTCTTATAATCCGTAGGACAAACGAAGTTTTTAAAACTGCGTGGATTTTTGGCCTTACCAATTATCAAAAGTTTAAGTCTATGTGCACCTGATGCATTTGCGCAACACAGGAACGTTACACGTTGCTTCTCCATCTTTGTACCAGGAGCACTTTTCTCTTGCATTGCAACGTACGTTTTATCTGGTAAAAGTTTCCAGAATAAACCAGACTCATCAGCATTATTGAGTTGGTCATTGCATAACTCCATTTCTTCAATTTTTTGTTTCAATTTTAGCTTAAATGGATCCACCAATTCAGGCTGCGATGAGAGTTTTTCTCCGGATACTTTAAGAAGTCTAACTCCATACCTTTTCTTAAATCGCTGAAGCCATCCGTCACTAGCATTGAACCCGGACTCATTTTCTTTAAGTTGGGAATGTAATTCCTTAGCTTTTTCTTTTAACATTAGACCACTTACAGGCCAATTCCTATCACGCATTCGGAGGAACCAACGGTAAAGAGTTTTTTCCATAACTGGAAGTTCTGATGATTTTAAAGTTTGTCTTTTTCCCGGTCCTTGATATGTGTTGTTTACACAACTCAAAATTGCTTCGTTTTTCTTTTTAATACTGCATATTGTCGACTTAGCGACATTATACTTTTTTGCTAAACTAGTCACACTTGTTCCTTTTTGCAAACTATCTAAAATGTCTGCCTTTTCTTTTAACTGCAAACATTTAGATTTTTTTACACTCATGCCGACTGATTCACTTCACATAAGAAACTAACTTCAAATTTCTTTGCCATACAAACAAAATAATTTAGGGGATATACACTCATTTATATAAGGGGATTCCCAAAATTTTAAAATTCGAATTTAATGAATGTATTTCAATGTTGTGTACATGCTTAGAAAACATATACTGTGAAAAAATTGTTCACGTTATAGAGCTTTCTGTGTTTGTTCACGTTACAGAGTAGTCAATGTAAAAAACATCTGTTCACGTTAGGCGGTGTTCACGTTAGACGGTGTTCACGTTACCGCGAGTGCACTGTACCAAACTAATATTTGTGCCAAATTTTGTATCAATAGCTTTATTTGGTAATGAGTAATGTGCGTTTAAGAGATTTTCGTAAAAGGACCTTGTATGGGAGCTATGACCAATTATGTATATAAAGACAAAATTTTAAAATTCTGTATCTATATCATTATTTGGCAATGGATATTCTGCATTTAAGTGATTTTCTAGAGGAGACCTAGTATGAGAGCTATGACCAGTTATGGACCGAACGCAAAACAATTTTATAGTGCAATTTATGTATATAAGAGCAATATTTGTGCTAAATGTATGGATATCAATATTTTGTAATGAGTTATGTGCGTTTAAGTGATTTTCGGGAGGGCACCTTGTATGGGAGCTGTGACCAATTATGTACCGATCGGAAAATAATTTAACAATAATATTTCTGTGCATATGAGCAATACTTATTCCAAATTTCATATGGATATCTTAATTTAGTAATGAGTTATGCGCGTTTAAGTGATTTTCGGGAAGGTTCCTTGTATGGGAGCTATGACCAATTATGGACTGATCAGAAAAAATTTTCAAAGTAATATTTCTGTGCATATGAGCAATACTTGTACCAAATTTTATATGGATATCTTAATTTAGTAATGAGTTATGCGCGTTTAAGTGACTTTCGGGAGGGGACCTTGTATGGGAGCTGTGACCAATTATGGACCGATCGGAAAAAAATTTCATAGCAATATTTCTGTGCATATGAGCAATACTTGTACCAAATTTTATATGGATATCTTAATTTAGTAATGAGTTATGTGCGTTTAAGTGATTTTCGGGAGGGGACTTTGTATGGGAGCTATGTCCAATTATGGACCAATCCAGAAAGTTTTTTCTCTGAATGAATTCTATTGACATAAGATTTTAATTTGTAAAATTTTGTGAAGATATCAACATTCTGACGGAAGTTATTAATAAAAAACCCATTTTCCGGGAATATGTACTTTTGTATGGGAGGTATATGAAATTGTGGACCGATTCTGGAAATTTCCAGCAGGAATTAAGATCTTGTGTAGAAACGAATGTGTGATGACTTTCATGAAATTATCTTGCATAGTTTTCGAGAAAATTACATCAGAATGTGTAAAAGATGCTTATTTTTTTCGGAGTTGTTTTAAATTTTGATTCATAACTATTCCCGATGTGAACCGATTTTGCTCATTTTCAATACCAAACTGTACCGGATAATAATGAATACTTTGGGTGAATTTGGTTAAATTATATTGCTTCGTTTTAACGTGAGCGTGTTTTACACAGACAGACAGACCAACGGACGGACAGACAGACGGACATAGCTAAATCGACTCAGAATTTCATAAGGACCCAGAATATATACTTTGTTGGGTCTCAGATGAATATTTCTTGGTGTTACACACGGAATGACAAACTTATATATACCCTCTATCACCACTGATGGTGGTGGAGAAATTTGAAATGGGAAATTTGATTTTATTCGAACGCAATGATCCAATTTATATAAAATTTTTAGATCTAGAAACACTGTTGAGGCCCGCGACAGCGCCTCCGAGACAGCAGATGAAGACTGCCTTGACTTGGACATAGAGCCCCTACTTTAAATGTGCCCCTTCTGCTCGCTACGCTTCTGAATGGTGCTTAAGGAGATTGACAGGTGTCAAAAACTGACGTCCTGTCAATCAACTTAAGCGCCATTGCAGTTTTTTCTTTAATAAAAAAAAACCTCAGCAGCGTCAGCAGCAAACAAACCCTAAAACCCAAACCTGAAAATAAAGGAAGTTATAACGTTTAACCAAACCTGTGTTCTTACTCACCTTGAACCACAAGTAAGTGCAACCTGCATTTTATTTCCAAAGTTAATTAT